CGACCAACCCTTCAGCTTTTGAAAATCATTGCCCCGCCTCAAAACCCAAACTCAAATCATTGTTTTCTACAAAATACACTTGATGGAGTTTGCAAAAAACATTATTTTTAATAGGAAATAATTTTGCGATCGATGACAATGCTTTTTTTCCCAAATGGTTTGAAAATATATTTGTTTCAATCTTTCACTTTAACTTTCATTTTGTTCATACTAGCGAATAATGTTAATTTGTTTGCAAAATTTAATTTAACTTTTAATTAGTTTTACAACCATATAATTAGCATGAATTAGATCGTTATATTTCTATTTCAACGTATTAAAATCAATTTATGGTTTAGCGGAAAAACATATGTTTATTATTACTGTCTGCTTTGTTTGTTATTCACTGCACCCGAATATTAGATATTTTGGTCAGCTTCATAATTAATAATTTTCTTAAACATTGAATAAATTTGTAGATGCAAAATTATGGAGGATGAGGATGAGGATGAGGATGAGGATGAGGATGTGGATGAGGATGAGGATGAGGATGAGGATGAGGATGAGGATGAGGATGAGGATGAGGATGAGGATGAGGATAAGAATGTGGATGAATGGACGAAAATGAGAATTAGGATGAGGATAATAGTGAGGATGAGGATAATAATAATGAGGATGAGGATGAGGAAGATAATGAGGATGAATGGACGAAAATGAGGATAATAATGAGGATGTGGCAAAGATTGGTTAAGTTAAAAAAGGAAGAAAAGGAAAATGGATTTTATCTATTTTCTTTTATCAAGGGGAGAATTTGAAAAACAAACATTTTATCGATATTTTAAGAAATTATACAATAAATATTTTGACCATCCTATATAATCTTAATTATAAGCTAATGAGGTCATTGATAATGAGCTTAATGAGCTTAATGATGATAATTACCATTGTCTCAGCCAGCGCACTTTCCATCATATTGAGAATAGTTTTCTCTGGGTACAACATTAAAAATATCTTTTCGTATTTTCTTCAAGATGGAATCCCAGCATCACTTTTATCTCCGATATTATCACTAAATTTGATTAATGTCACTAGCCTGGGCTGGAGCGCCTGCCTGATCAAGATTGTACGTGCGTAGAACGGGTTGCGCACTCTACCTTTCTCTACAACTGATGATCAACTCCAGAAAGATATCAGCTCCCAGTATTGGGGGCGGGGTCTGCTCTCCCTCCCCGGCTCGTACCGACCTTACACCACCACCAATCTTGCGGATTTTTCTATCTCAGCCACCTCGCGGATTTATCCCACCCGGCACGGAGCCTCCTGACGTCATATAATGTGATATCAAACCGCAGTGGGCGGCGGCGAACACCTGCCAGCTTCCCTAGGCCTCCGACATTCTGATTGGACGGACATTTTGATAAGAGATGATATCAGACTCCAATAAAAAGAAAATGGGCGGGAAGTATAAAATCCCCCCATTTATTCAGTTTTATTTCTGCAGCTTACATAGTAAAATACATGATCTTCTGCTCTTTAACTCTTTTTTCAAGAGCATTTGATCTGAGATAATCTACGTCCCTTTTAAGTTTTTAACACGAGTCAGAACGTTTAAAGGTAGATCTTAGTTCGAGCCAAGGTTATAATGTAAGGAAAGTTATTTGCAGTTGCCTATATTCTGCGTACATATTGAAACCAGTTCACTCTGGGTGGAATTTGTAAACAAGAAGAGATGCATCAGTGTTTGTTTAGTATCCGAGGAGGTTAAAAGCATTAAATTTTGTTAATTTTGATAATTCACATAATAGTTTCCTATGACCAGAATATTTCATTGATTTTTTATATGAAAAATGGATTCCATGCCAGGCTTCGAAATCCGTCTTGTGTTTACATTACCGCCCAGAGACAGTACACTGCAGTACAAAAGGTGCGCACACCTCTGAAACAACCTCGCATTATAACCTTGGTCCGAGTATGCTTTAAAAAGTTGGATGAGTTTTGAAATGAATCAAATAGATTAAATTCTTTATACGAATCAATTGTATGATGTTCTCTTTAGACTTGTGTTGATGGGAAATGTATGCAAAATATGGACAATAAATAGGCCTGCCTTCGTATAATTTAACACCTTGTTCTATATATATCTTCTTAAATTAAGTTTAGAACATTTTCTATTGTTTATTTAATATATTTTATTGCTGGACACTGTGTTTCATGTTTGACATTCATCAGCAGCATATATGTATAAAAATATGTTAGCTATAGGCATAGCTGGCCAAACGGTTGGACGGAATTGGCTGAAATATTTTGAGGGAATTGATTGGTACCCTGAGAGTAACATAGGTTAAAAAATTTTGATTTCTTAAAATTCAACGGGCAACGCCGGGCACTTGAGCTAGTATAATATATAAAAGGAAGACGACTTTATAGAATAAATTTTCATTATTCAATTCGTTTAAATAAACAAGCAGTCATTGTGTTTTCATCAATATAAACACACTACACCAACATAATATTTGAATAAGTCAGAAATAACAAATATTTTCTCTGCATTGAACAATTTAGAGGAAGAAGTGGAGGGGGGCCGGGGGG